CGGGGTCTTTCTTAGGAGGAATGTTTGGGTAAGATTAGCTGGAGTGGGTATTTCTGGAGCGGGATTCAGGGTTAATGTTATCCGGTCAGGTCGATCAGTCAAGTTTCGCTTTTTACATGTATAAGCCCTGTCTACCTGTGGTTTAAATTGGCTAAGCTTTCACAGGACCTAATGGTTTTACCATTAAGGCATTTAGAAATGCAGCTAATATCGGTGGAGATGGTTGTGTTTACAGTGTTTTGGTGACAGTTGAAAGTGCTGCAGGCTAGTTTTGCTTTAGCCAGCTGGAGGAGTCGTGAGCAGACCGCTGTGTTATTGTGTGGGAGGATTAATCAGGCAGGTACTTCATATAAAAGAAAGGCAATGTGAACCACACGTGTGATTTTCTTCTTCTAACTTGGCTCTCAACTAACACAATAAATTGTTTCTGAAACGCTCAAGGTAGTTCGTACCATTGCTGTGTAACGTTACTCGAACGCTAACGTTAAACCGTTTTAATAGCAAGTTAATAACTTCAGTTTATCTGTAACTAATCTGAGCTGTTTTAATAGCTGGCTAGTTAGCTAAATATACTATGCGCCCCTCTTTCTCCTTTACGCAGTATTGGCGCAGTTTCACTGCGTTTCACTGTAAGCCGCACCGTATATAATGGTGTCTTAGAAATGAGCTACACAGACAGTTGGGCTTATTACCTAAGAGCAATGAGGCACTCGATCACATAGCCATAACTCACTGTCGGCTTATCAGGTCGTTGGTCAGCAAGGCTAAAATTTTCCCATTTAACTTGAGATTCCACAGTAATAAATACTCGAATTAAAGCTTAAACGGTCATTTCATGGCTACTGTCCAACCTACAGCAACCCAGGCAACATCAGGACAGCTGGACCACCATTTGGTTGTATGTTAGGTCCCTGTAAGGCCTAAATCCAATCATAAACCTTTCCAGTCTAACTCCATGTTATGTACAGCGTATATATAGAGTTTTATGTGGTAAACCTCATCTTTGGTTTGATTGAAGCTTGTGATGGCCTATTTGAGTCTTCCCAGGAGTCTACAGGCCCCAGTCTGGGACTTGCATCAATCAGTTGACAGTCACCAGCAAGTGCAGACTCTCAAAAAGCTTAATGTATTTAGACCAACACACAGTCCTCATAGCTGGCCTATTTAAAAAAGGAAACAGTGCTTTGATGCCATGATGATGATGATGCCATCTAGCCAATGCAGATATGCCATTTATCTAAAACAAATTTTGAACATAAATGTGAAAAATGTAAATTGTGTGTCATCTGTTACACTTTTCAGTGGGAACCACAAAGTAGAGGAGGCCTGTGAGATGTACGCCAGAGCAGCCAACATGTTCAAGATGGCCAAGAACTGGAGTGGTAGGTAGCATCAACTTTTAATCCACTGAATTCTTATGTAAACGGTACATGGGATATCTTGGGGCATTTGATGACAATTTTACGGGTACGTTTAAACAAAGATGGATGTTTAATCAGTGGAAGTCTAGTATTGCTGCTTCTTGTCTTGTCGTATAAGCACAATATAGTGCATAATGCTGTCTTTAACGGTTTCCAGCTGCAGGGAACGCCTTCTGCCAGGCAGCCCGGCTTCACATGCAGCTCCAGAACAAACACGATGCCGCCACCAGCTTTGTTGATGCCGGAAATGCCTTCAAGAAAGCTGATCCACAGGGTGAGGGCAAATACAGCTTGTTCTCATGGAGCTCTCCACACCTCTCACTAACACCTGCCCATTTCACTATGACTCAAACACAGTTGTGCTTGCCTGTCTCTCTTGGAGGAATTTTGTACATTATGTATGTGTGAATAATTTCTGCATTAACAAAATGAGGCAAAATCATTTTCCTCATTAGTCAAGTCAGAAACCAAGGTTATTAAGGATTTTAAATGCAAAAAGTCTTACAGCTAAATCTGTGTAGTTTGAGTGAATCCCCCCTTTTTGTGTCCTGTTTGGTCCTGCATGTGCTGCTGTGACTGACTAACTTTTCCTTCCCTTCTTTTAATGCATAACCATAGAGGCTATCAACTGCTTAAATGCAGCCATCGATATTTACACAGACATGGTAAGGTGAAAGTAGACTCTGCTGTCTCAGTGCAGTTTGTATCAATATACAAGATTAGCCATGTTACCTGTATATGAAAATATCTCTTTCAAATGCTTAGTTTCTACTAGGGCCCAATCGATTATGGAATTTTGTGGTGTTCTGATACGATGCTCATTTAGAGTGGCTAAAAATTCTGATCATTTGCAGTTTTGGTTTCTGTTTATTTCCTTATTTTTCTTTAGTTCTCTTTATAAAAATGTGTTGTAAAATGTGGTCATTTGGTTAAAGTTTTGTCCTGTCGTCAGGAGATTGCGAGTTTGAATGCTGGAATTGCGTAGTTATTGGTGATGTTTTTGCCAGTGATCGCAGAGCATTGATATCAGCCAATATTATCAGCCAGCCAGTATATCAGTAAAGTTTCTAGTATATAACAATGATCTAAAGCAGTTATGACCTTTTTCTCCCCCCAGGGACGATTTACTATTGCAGCTAAACACCACATCACAATCGCTGAGGTATATGAGTCAGAGCTGGTTGACATTGAAAAGGTACTGTGGAACTTTGCGTATAACCATTTCCCTGTAATCATAGCAAATGCCTGCAAAATTAGCAGAATGATAAAGCCTAAATTAGGCAATCATTATAAAAATAATGTTTCCTCCTTTTAGGCAATTGCACATTATGAACAGGCTGCAGATTATTACAAAGGCGAGGAGTCTAACAGGTAAGTCATGCAGCAGTATTGCTCATTGACGCAATTTAAATTTTACAGACCCAAAAATGCATTCAGAGTTTTTCTGACTAATTTTGCTATTGCATTTTCATTTGGTAGCTCTGCGAACAAATGTCTTCTCAAGGTTGCTTCATATAGTGCTCAGCTGGAGCAGTATCAGAAGGCCATTGAGATCTATGAACAGGTATCAAACTTACGACACCTGAAAAGATTACATAAAATGGCTAAGTTTAACCACAGTGAGTCTTTACAAGTTCTTATTTGAATGCTTTTAGGTTGGAACGAACACCATGGACAACCCCTTGCTGAAATACAGCGCCAAAGAATACTTCTTCAAAGCCTCCTTATGTCACTTCATTGTGGATGAGCTGAATGCAAAGGTTAGTCTTTTTATTAAGTAGTCAAGAACCATGAAAAAAATTGGCATCAGCTCTAATGGGTTTGTGTTTGTTCAAAACGTATAGCTTGCTGTGGAAAAGTATGAGGAAATGTTTCCAGCGTTCTCCGATTCAAGAGAGTGCAAACTACTGAAGGTTTGTAATCTCAGCATCTGAGAGGATATTTATTTTTATATATTTATAGAAGATGGTTTTACCAAACTCTCCTAAACATTTCTCCTTCCAGAAACTTCTGGAGGCCCATGAAGAACAGAACGCAGAGGCTTTCACAGAAGCAGTAAGACTTACATTTACCTCATGCTTCTGAATCTGTCTTAATATATGGAGCTGTTGGGTTTTAATTGGATAAAGTCAATGATTGGACACCATGGCTTGATTTCATGGAACAAAAGAATTCACATTATATTACAAAATGTAAATAATAAAGCAGATTGCTAATAAGAGTCTCTGTTCTTTATATTTTTCCTTTCTATACTAGGTTAAGGAGTTTGACTCTATCTCACGCCTGGACCAGTGGCTGACCACCATGCTTCTGCGCATCAAGAAGACCATCCAGGGCGATGAGGGGGACTTAAAGTGAAATGTAGAGTTAGGGGAAACCATCCAAGGCATGCCACCCCCTCCCCAGAACATTTCATATCATTTTTGTGCAATGGCCAAGTCCAGGTTTCCCAGTACAATATGTCAAATTTATTGCTGCAGCATTTATAGAGGATGTATAAACATATATTACATTTGATTTTTGGATATTATTTGTGACATGTAATATTTAGCTTTCAAACGTCAGACCGGTTTGGGTCCGCTAAATCTCAGACTCCCTGTTTTTATAATGAATGTTGTTCTGGATGCACAAAGTGGTGTAGTTCAGTTTAAAGGAAAGCCAAGGATAAACTAGGGACCTGGGAACTTGGCATTGGCCCTGCTGTTTAAGTAATCACTGGAGTTTGGATTGCTAGTGCTGCATGACATGTACAAATGTAATTATGGAGTTAGAAGACCAGACATTTCACTTAAGTTATCGTTGTAATTTTATTGACTTATTCTTTATTTTTATTTGTGCAATTTGTACTCAACCCATTCCTGTTAGTACGTCTACAGGTGTGTGGGTCTCATGTCTCATTATAACTATATTATGTGCACTCTGATTCAGAACACTTATCATGTTGTTCACTCTGGAAAGAGTGAACAGTCGGTCGTAGGTGGCCACACTGCTGCTACTGAGTCCAGGAATGTAAGTCAGACTTGAACTAATTTTCATGATCATTGTAAGTCTATACAAGTGTAAGAACAATGGAGCTGTAATTTCCATATCAACCTTTATTTCTTAATTTCATTCAGGTTCATTTCTGTAGTGAGGTTTCTTTACATTCTGAGATGTAATTTTCTTATTTTTACTGTATCTCTATTATCTCTGCTTGCAGTAAGTGGTTTGCACTCCAAGTATTTATACAGTTAAAAGATAACATGTTGCTCTTTGTTTGTCAGCACATTCAAATTATGAACACTTTGTGAGCTCCCTGTATAACCTGTGTCAGTGTGCTATGTGTCGTGTTGTGATTTCATACTTCACGCAGCACTTAGGCTAGTGCACTCTCCATACTTGTGGTCCTTAGCAGCGCATGTCACTGTGTGTATTATTGTTGATGTGTAGTATCTCACTGTGTCTACAGTTTTTAAAAAGCCATCAAAAGAGGCTAACTACATGCTTATCTAGGTTCTTTCTGACTGAGTAGTTGATCTCTTGTTGAATGTCTGTATGAAAGTACAGAAATAAAGGTCTAATATTAAAAGTTATGTTTTTGTTAAGGCTTTAACATATTGCATCCTTATGTTTCAGTAAAATATAGAATAACACTAGAAGTATCTGATCCATTTTTAATTCAAGCTTGGTGACTTTTAAAATGGGTGGAGAGCGATACTCTGCTGTGTGATAAAATCAACTGCTGAATTATTGGCACTGCTCAAAAATATGAGCAAGAGCAAACATGCACAATAAGCATTATAACTAATAATTCAAATGTTCCTCAAAAATGTTTAGACACTCCAGAAACTCCATTAGTGTCTGTGACCATTTCTTGTTTCCCTGGGGTATAAATATGAGGTTACACACATGTAAAGTAATTTTGTCCTCCACCAACATGGGTAAAACAATCACAGTGATAATGAAGTTTGAAAAGCATGGAACAGTTGAAAATTGGCTAAGAGATGCAAAGAAGAATTTGGAAAGAGCAACAAAGAGGAATCTAAACATCACAGTTTAGTTGCATTTTGGGGTTTTCAGTTTTCAAAATTCACTGTCGGATGCCACCTCCATGACCAGGAGCTCCACAAAGAAACCTTTCGTAAGAGCAAACCACAAAGTGCAGTGCCTATACTTTGCAAAATGTCACTGGAACTACAAATGGAATCATGTGATGTGGTCAGATGAACATGAAACCATCATCACAATGAAAATATCTGATACCCACTGTCAAATATGGTGGTGGATCATTGAGACTTGAGCTTGTTTTGCTGGTGAAAAACAATGAAAACCAATGGCACAATGAATTCCATCAATACCAGAAGATTTTAGCCAAAAATCTGTCTGACTCTGCCAGAAGGCTGAAACCTGGCCATCGGTGGACCTTCAAGGGATCTAATGACCCCAAGTACACATCAGAATCCACACTGAAATGGTTGTGGGAATACAAAATGTTGGGTTTTGAAGAGGACAGTCCACGAGTGAAGACCCAAGAATATCTAGTAACTAGACATGTTCTGCATGGAAGACTGGTCCAAGATCCCCCTACAAGTATTCTCCAACCTTGTTAAGCATTACAGAAAGCAGCTCAGTCTGTTACCCTAACCAAAGGAGGCCTCACCAAATATTAAAAATGGGGAGGCCAATATTTTTGACAGCTGTTTTCCCAAAAAAAAAAAAAACGTTTTAGTTCCAAAACAGTGTAAAAATAAAAATATGCAGCTTACTCATTTATTCAAGCCCACAATATCACTCACTGTATGTGTGCTTTATTGAATATATTGATTTTACCTCATTTTTATTAAGGGTGCCAATAATTCTGGAGTTGATTGTAAGCTGTATAACTATTGTGTCCAGATAATTAAAAAAAAATCATGTTGACAGCTTTCCCAATGAGAAGGATATCTTCAGGCCACACAGCATAACGCTGATAGACAGAGGTTTAAATGTTTTAACAGCTTACTTTTGATATCCTCATTCTTATCGGACATTAAGTATGATTTAACAGTTAAAAACCAGGCAAAGGAAAACTTCATAACATTTTATGTACATGAAAATCATAACTGTGAGAAATAAATCTCTTGTCTTCCTTAATCACTCTCTACAAAAAGCAGCAATTAATGTATATACACATTAAAGTAGGGAAAAAGATTAGTGAGCCTATAGATATAGTGTAGAAAAAGTGTTGACCACAAAAGAAGCTTCAAAATCACTCTCCACTATCTCCTGTAGAGATCTCCATGGCCTCTACTGTTTCTGCAGTCTGCACATGCTCAGTCGTTTCCTGATGGGAGTCTGAATTTTGTACCTGATGAATCTGTTCCACTTCTGACTGTGCCGTTAAGCATTCAGTAGAGGCAGACAAAGTGACTTCAGCTGGAGCCAGAAGGGCTTCTGTGACTGCGTCTCCTGATGTTGCTGATGTGACCACTGGAGCCAGCATGACGTCAGAAACTGTAGCTGGATCAGAAAGAGGGACTGAGCCAGACAGCGGCGCTGACTCAGAGATGGAATGTGCAACGGAGATAGGAATGGAAAAGGGGACAGTAACAGGGATGCCAACAGCAGAACTATCCAGAGAAATGACGCTGGCTCCATCAGCCGTGACAATGGGCTGCAGTTGCGTACCAGCAGGCACCTCAGTTTGAATAACTGTTAGGCTGCCCAGTGCTCCATGGCTGACCAGCGCTATGGTGCCAGGACCAGTCCAGTCCCCAGCGATGGTCACCGGCTCTTCTGACACAGTTACTATTTCCTGGGGCTGAGGTTCACTCTGCTTCTCCACTGCCTGACGTTCCTCTGCATTCGCTGCTGCCTTGTCCTTCTTCAGAGAGGTGCCCTTAGGCTTCTTGACACGACCCTCTACATTACCCTGCAGCACAACCAGATAATTCTTCCAAGGAGTGTCCTTGTCATGAGTCTGTGAATGATATTTTGAACAGAAAATGAGATGCATTTCTTTTCATATCTCAAACATACACAAACATCACTGCTGTCATATTAAATTTTTATATACAATTTGATAAGTCCAGGTGCTACTTTAATTATGTGAATGTTTCATGACAAATGAAGCAAATGGACCAATACAAATGGTTCAAAATGACCTGGAATAACATTTTAATTTCATTCATTTACATTAAATTTAAGTAAAAGTTTTCCCCTTTTTCAGTAATGTACCAATTTAGAGATACAAGGTCATGTTTAGAAAGCGACCATGAGCCATGGGGTTATAACTGATATTAATGATTACTGCGGTAAGTTAAATAAGTTCCAATATTATGCAAATTATTGTTCTTTCGTTTTCTACATGATTTTTTTACATTTTTTATTGCTTTACCTTTATTTACTCATTAACTTTGTAAAATCAGTCTTATCTATGGTTAGTTCAAAAATGCATACATTAGAAAAGAGTACTTCATTATATGATATACAAACAGAACACCACCAACTAATTAACTCCACACAGCTTGTCCAATCCAACGCAGAGAACCAAAGGATGTAAACAGTGTTACATGCCATCTCTACAGAATATAGTTGTTAATATAAATTATTAAGTGATATTAGAAGCTAGTCCAGTTTGTAACAATACAGTAATTATATGACAATTAGTAAAAATGCAGACTATAGGGTAAAGCTTTGTAATGCTCACATGTGATACTTCGAAACTAATTTTGGATCATGATTATATTGTGCGATAATTCTGCAGAAGATTACTGTTAGCCCAAATTTACACTATCGTCCAAGCTTAGTGACCATGCTTTACATCATGTTTAGTTATGAGACTGATTTATGTATGATCTCTTCAGTTGCTTACTGCTTACCATGGTGTGTCTGCGGACAGTAGACTTGTCTGTAAAGGTTCGACCACACATGCTGCACATGTATGGTTTCTCTCCTGTGTGGATTCTCTGATGCCTCTGAAGAGCGTTCAGCTGAGTGAACTGCTTATCGCAGTCCTTACAGTGGTAAGGCCTTTCACCTGAACAGAGCACAGTAAGACAGCAAAGGTCAGTGATCTTATTTATGTATTGTCTGAGGGAGACTTTATAGATTAGATGAATTTGAGCTGCTGGTAATATATTTCACAAAGGAATACCTGTATGGATTTTCATATGCTGATGAAGTGAGTTCCGTTGAGCAAATGCTCTTCCACAGTTTTCACACTTGTAAGGCTTGTATCCAGAGTGAATTCTGGCATGGTGTTTCAGGTATTCTTTAGATGCAAAACTTTTCCCACAGTTTTCACACATAAAAGGCTTTTCTCCTATAAAGAGAAACATAATTAATTAAGAGTGGTCCATGTGAAATATCATGCTATCAGTAGAGATTATTGATACTCTTACCTGTATGGCATCTCTTATGGTAAGCCAGCATGTGGTTCTGAGTAAATCTGGCATCACACATGTCGCAAGCAAAAGGCTTCTCACCAGTGTGGATCCTATGAAGTACACCAGTTCCAGTAAACCATGAAGCACTACAAAACTGGTATGTCTCCAGCCTTCTGGACTTCTGTTTCAAGTCAAACACGGAGTTGCCAGTTTGCCAGGTACACCTACTCTACATACCAGCGGTTCTCAGTCTGGTCCTCAGGGCCCCTTAAATGGTCCACAATTCCAACTCAAAACACATGGAGATCGCAAAAATTTGGACAAACTGGGGGGCCATGTGGACTAGTTTAAGAACCACTGATGCACACTACACCTGTGCCCAGTCGAGGAGATATACCAACCTGGAGAGCTCCGATGCAATCTTCAGATGTCCATGAAGGCCTTCAATACCTGAATTAGTTGTGTTTAAGAGTTGGAGCTAAACTCTGCAGGGTGATAGATCCCCAGGACCAGTGCTGTGCACTGCTGTACTACACTCACCAGCCACTCTATTAGAGTTATTACACCTGCTTAGTCATGCAATTATCCAATCAGCCAATCGCATGGCAGCAGCACAATGCTTAAAATCATGCAGACGCATACCAACGGCTTTAGTTTACAATGAAATGCAATGGAATGAGGAAGAAAGGAAGGATGACTCTGACTATGGCATGGTTGCCGAATGGGGTGGTTTGACTATTTCAGAAAATGTTGATCCCTTGGGATTTTTACACAGAGTCTCTAGATTTTACACAGAATGGTGCAAAAAAGCACCCAATGAGCAGACAGACTTGTTTGAGAAGGCTACAGTAACTCGAATAACCACTCTTTACAACAGTAATGATCAGAAAAGCATCCCTAAGTTCAGTGCACTTCAGTGGCCAGTAGGGCACCTCTGGGATGTGGTAGAACAGGAGATTCACAGCAAAAATGTGCAGCAGACAATCCTGCAGCAATTGCATAATGCAGTCACTTCAACATGTCTAAGGAATGTTTCCAGTACCTTGTTAAATTCATGTCACAAAGAATTCAGGCTCGCTGTTCTGAGGGCAAAGAGGGTCATAACCAGTATTACAAAACCACCCCATCTGGCACCAACAACCATGCCACCGAGTCACTTCTTTACCCATTCCATTGCTTGATGTAAACTGTCACGTCTGCATGATTTTATGCATTGTGGTGCTGCCACACTGATGGCTGACTGGATAACTGCATGACTAAGCAGGTGTACTGGTCCTCCTAATAAAGTATCCAGTGAGCATATATACACTGATTGTAGCTATAACTACAAAACTTGTCAGCCACATCTGACCCCAACAGTCTGTGCAAACGGATAACTACAGGACCCCAGCTGATCACATATTATTTGGTTAGTGGATTATGCTGTGCATAGCAGTGAAACTGACACATTAGTGACATCTGACATAATGACATGAACCACAGTGTGTGCAGCAAGAAATGGGCTACAATCAGGAACTGTATCCCTACAATGTGCACCTATATGGTAAGTGTACCATATAGTAGCTGATAAAATGGTGCAGTTTAGGTGCACCTAATAAACTGGCAACTTTGCTCTTTAGATAAATGGTTCTCAAACCAGTCCTAAGGACCACCTGAGAACCACTGCTTTAGATGGCATTCTTACCTTTGATGTGTTTTGAGAGCAGAGCTTTGGGAGAACCTGGCTCCACATTCATCGCAGTTGTAGGGTTTGTCACCTGTGTGGGTTCTCTCATGCAGAGTGAGAGCTGTTTTAGAACTTAGAGATTTACCACAGACGGGGCAGAAGTGGCGCTCAGTTCCACCCTCGTGAACTTGCCGCCTGTGTCGTGTCACATCCTTCTTGCGTTTGAAGGCCTTGCCACACACGTCACATGGAAAGAGCCTCTCATCACTGTGCACATGCCGCTCATGGATCTTTAAGTTGCAGCGGTTGGCAAACGTCTGCTGGCAGATGTTGCAGCGGTAGGTAGTGTCAGTCTGGATCCCATGACTAACTCTGACATGCTTCAGGTAGCTCTTCTCATAGCGAAATGAACGGATGCATTTGTGACAGTCATACTTTGCACTGCCTGTCTTGCATTCTTTTTCAGCCTCATCTGTTTCATCCGTGGCTTCAGCTGGTACGAAGTCAGGGCCCTCAAGAGTTTCATCTGGCACATCACGGTTCAAAGTGCAGGCTGATTCAGAACCGCTGTCAGCGAGAGCCTCCTTCTCAGAGAAAATCTGATCACTAGGACCCATGGATTCTGTTTCACAAATCTGCAGTGGTGCCTCTTGTGTTATCTCTGTTTCATCTGGGCTTAATGAGGGGTCATAAGCCTCAGACTGAGGTCTTGCTTTGCGGCTAGTCTTTTTCTTGCTGAAATTCACTGAGACTCTGCGACCTGCTAACCTGCTGCTACTCCTCCTGCCCTGTACCTCTACCTTTCTCTCCCTTTGAGTATCCAAGGTTTTGAGTTTCAACTTTTTTCTCAGACCTAATGCTTTTTTTGCATGCTTTTCAGACCTCCCCCTTTTTAGTTTCACTCGTGTTTCAACTTTACCACCATGCATGCTTTCTTTATCATGATCCAGAAGCTTTGCATCACAAATATCAACTAGGTTTTGGCATTCCAGCAGCTTCGCCATCTGCAGTATGTTGAGAAGACAGCTCTTTTCCACTTCCATTTTTCCAGAATATGCATATTCTAAGAATTTGTTAAAGGCTTTGGGTGAAATTTCAGTCAAGGACAATTTTTTTACTTGTTTATCTGCCAAAAGGTGAGTCTTAAAATAGCCACTAGTTGCAGCAAGTACTACTTGGTGGGCCTCAAAATCCCCCAGCTCCCCTTGAAAACTGACTTGCACTGTGATGTCACACAGGTTCCCTGTGGCTCTTAATTTCCACATTGCCTCAAGTAAATTTTCATGATAATGGCTGGATATGAGCTGAACCTCTTGATCTCTCATCTTTATTCGTTTTTGAAAACTGCAAAAAAAAAAGCAAAGAAAGAGAACACATGTAGATGTTTTATTCATTTACTTTCCTGCCCAAACATCCTTATTTATTTTACTCTAACAAAGATTATTTACAACATTATAACGAATAGGACCTTAATGAAATGAGAAAAGTAAAACATTCTCCAACATTTAAGTATTACTTTCCATAGGAGATGACTGTATGTTAGGTCTTATTGCGCTAGGGTAGTGTTAGTGACAGTTAGCTACGTCAGTAGTAAAACAAGGAGTATTAGCGTTTTTGTTAAACCTTGAATGAATCGAATGAACAACAGATCATTTGATTAATTCGCTTTCATATCACCTTATTTTACTCTAACTGATATAATGTACAACCAATAGGACCTCATTTAAATTAAAAAAGAACACATCCTCTGAACATTAGCTAAAGTATTCTTTTCAACAGGAGAATTTTGCATGTTAGGCTATATGATATGATAGTGTAAGATTTAGATTAGCTAGGATAGTTTGTCAGTTACGTTAGTCATAGAAAAAGCGTAAAGTGTTAGACCTTGAATGAATCAAATGAACAACAGATGCTCAATGTATTGCTTGTTTGTAGTTAGCTAACGTTAAGTAGCCGGTCAGATCACACAGTGTTTAGCTACGTGGCCACTGTGTTATGTGATTAACTAGCTGGTCAATAACTCTATCTCAATGATATCGGAACAACGCACGTTACTGACTGGTAATCATGACTGTGTCGCTTGCAGACGACGTTTTCTAACCTAACCAGCTTCCTAAAACCTAGCTAGTTAGTTAGCTAGCTAGGTTAGCTAAAGGCCATGCTAGCGCAGCACCTCAGGGAACACACGGTGCAGTTTTGTGAAAATGTTTTATTATCCTGCTGAAGTGCTCGGTGATGGGTCGGATGAGAAACGAATCGGTTACTGTTAAGAATTTGTATTCTTTGCCTTTTACGTAACTATCCGGCTACACTTTTAGCCGCAAAACAACTCAGACACTACCCAATTATAACCTACAGCTAGCCAAACAGTGAACGTTAGCATGCACAGCTCCGCTTTGGTGAGTCTGAAGGAGACCGAGAATAACACCAGGCTAACGGCTTCAAATAAATAAACTCAAGTCGCAAGTTTGCTTGGCTTGTGTAGTGCAGAGTGTACGGCAATGCACTGAATGGATGATTTACATAGTTGTTAGTAATGTCTTACCGTAAGCTCGGTAAAATGGCAGCCCTTCACAAATTCACAGCCATGTAAAAAGTATTTCCTGTAGAAATCGCACCCAGCGCTCAGGCAGCCATGTTGGAAATGAATCAAGGGATTTGAAGTGTTAGCCTGCGGGATTCCAGCCCCCGGGAAAATTAGAGCCCAAGCCTTTACTGTGAGCAGGAATTAAACTGTCGTTTTTCATTGCATTACATAAAGACTATTATTTCCATACGCTGTTGTTCCTAAGAGCCGTATATTGCTGTGATTTTGGACTGGACTTTCTGGAACTGACTTAATTTTAATTTTCCTTCTTTTACAGGGTGAAAAAAACGAATGGCAATTCATCAATGAATGGCTAATGTGTAACCGTGTAAGTTATAATGTTTTCATCACTTCACACACCTTATTCACTTTCCTAAGATAACAGTCGTATGCCTTTTATCAAAGTTTATGGCTATATGTATTCTTTCTGATGTTACTCTAACAAACATCATTTACGACCAACAGGACCTAAATGAAATGACAGAATGAAATGAAAAAAGCAAAACACATTCCATATATATTTGCATGCCTTCCTTGCTAGAAAAAACAGCATTGCTGGTCACAATGAAAACCAGCATATGTTGTGTTTTGGATGCTGGTATGCTGGTCATCCAGCATGACCATGATGGTTGACCAGCCAAAGCAGCATAGACCAGCTTAGACCGGTCTGTGCTGTTTTTTTTTCAGCCAGGTTAAGGAGCAAGCATAGTTTGACTAACTTAAGTAATAGTAGTAGTAGTAGTTGTGAATCTTGTAGTGAATCAACTGAACAACAGTTGCCCAATGCACGCATGGAATTTGTATGACCCTCCAGGTCCTGACAGCGGTCAGAAATGAGGATGAATTATTTAAAGGGCCCATGTCATAGAGCACATCATTTCTTTTTAGAAATACAAAAACAATTTGATGTCATATAAGACACTGTAAAGTTTTAAATGTATTGTACACTCCCCAGTCCATACAATATGAAAACTACAACCTACAGCCATTTAATCCCACTTATTCACGCTGAAGTAATATTGAGTGTTTCAGCCTGAACTGCCTTTAGAATGATGAACAATGCAAGTCAATGGAAGCTGAGGGCGTTTACATACATCAGTCTTAATCTTTTCAACTCCGCGGGACCACCAGTGGTTCCAAAACGCACTTCATCATATTCTTCATAACTTTCATATTTCATAAGCTACATTCCGAAGGTGGGTGTCATATGAGAGCTGTGACTGTCTTCGTTCCAGTCAAACAGATGGGTAATGTAATTTTAAACCCTTATAATAGAAGAAGCTGAATTTTTTTGTCTACTGAAAGTCGACCCATTTTTCCACAAATCCGGGCTATAAACTATAAACAGATGGTGTATCTTCAGTGATATACTTGTTAAAAAATATTTTTATAAAAAAATACAAAGAGCGTCTAAGATTTTTGGCTTTCAGCAGTAAATTGTAAGCATATGGCAATATGTGTATGGTCATAACACATTTTCTGTTAATTTGAGGGGAGCTTTTACAAAATAAATAAATAAAAATTGACATTTATTTCATGCAGTTACTGAATAATTTGCCTTACAAGTTGGACATGTAAATTCAGATGGAAAAACCAAAATATACCCTGGTGAAATAATAAAAACAGCCTGTTTAATTCTAAGAGAGTTATAAAGAGAGATAAAGAGAATTTGAGAAAAAAGTAATATACATGAATGATGACTTTTTGGTACATAAAGGCACGCAAACATAAGTGGACCTCAGCGTACAAGAATAGAATAAAAGAAAAAAGTAGGATGCAGGTCTTTTAAAGGCAGAAGTTATTCAGAGAAACAGTTTTAATGTGTTGGTCATGGAGCTTTCTCTGAAATGTTTACATGACTCTGAGCTTTAATGCTCTTAAAGCTTGAACATCCTTGCTATAAGCCTGACTTCAGAAACGTGCAGGGAAGGGCAGTGCACAGTTGGACTGATTAATATCTCTGATTACGTAATAGGCCGTGGTCAGTATAGCTATTGGCGGACATAAAGTAGATGATGCCGTGATTGAAGTGGAAGTTCATTATCAGTACATACTGAGAGCAATTCGATGCAGCAAATCTCAAAGAGAACAGCACATGACCCACATAATCTTCCACAGCTGTATGACATACAAAAAGCACTTCATGTGCCGTTTCTGTCATTGCAGTTGCAAAAGTTCACTGTAATCTAAATGCTATACCAGAACGAAATGCACAGTAACAGATCAATAAGTACACAAGCTTAGTCATTATTTGTTGAGGTAACTCTTGTTGGATTAAAGTGCTGCATGCCCAGAGAGGGCCGCTGAGTAGATATGACGTATAAGCTTTGAATATTCATCTGACTCTTAATAAAGGGAAATGGTTTGAAAAGCTTTTTGGCAGAGATGTCACTTAGAAGTTTATAAGCATTTTAAAGAAGTATACTAAAAGGTATAGTGCAAATGATGAAAGATTCTGTCCTATCATTGTAGAACTGGCAGCTTTCTCCAGCTGTTAAATATGCTGTAGTGTTTCCAGATCAGGTAGAGATGGAAAACATCAACACACACTTATAATGTCAAAAGAATGACTTACTTTCTCAAAATATTGACTCACTATCTCAGAATAATGACTTACTATGTTGAAATAATTACTAATTTCTTTCACAGTATTGACCTATTATGTAGAATGTATGACTTACTATGTTGAAATGATGACTTAAAATCTCATAATAATGTCATTATGCTGAAAAAACACTTCAAAGTAAATATTTTGAGACAATAAGTCATTATTTCAAGATATTAAGTCAATATTTTGAGAAAATAAGTCAATATTTTGACATATAGCTGCCAGAAACAGAAGAAAAAATATAGGTGACTTTTCCTCTTGTACATTGCAGGAATGGGCTTCCAAACTTTACAGTTGTGCTGTAAAGTTCATAACATTGAGGTTTAAACTGTTTGTACTACACCATTGAATTTGGTCAGCGCAGGGAGATGCATAAAAAACAGTAAGACAGAGCAGCACCATGTCACCCGATATTGGAAAGTGTTGTCTTGAGGTAAATGAAACCTAAATAAACAGACTGATTGTCAGAAAAGTAGTGCTAATTCATTATCACTGGATATTTATAACACTGTTATTACAGTTATGATTAAGATCGGACACATTGTGCCTGAAACTTAAATTAGTGCTTAGTATGCACAGTTTGTATAGTGCTTTGTCTTACCCCTTCAATATTGTTTAGCTTGCCTGGCCTTGTGTTAAGCCTTATAGGCCTACTAAATAATTGCAGTAAGATTTGCACATTTGGCTTCATGATATATAATTTTGCCAATACTGATAATCTTAGGTCCTTAGTGAAGGGGTTAGAGTGAATTGAGTCTATGACCACTTGAGGTCACTGTTGCACACAAATGAATCACCCATTTTGGAACAGAGAATGAACAGCTGAGTACAGAGTACAGCCCTATCCCAAACATGCTCTGTGAATACAAATGATTGTAACTTAGCCTTATCCTCCTTAGGCAGGTTGGACTACAGGGGTACTGGATTACTACCTAAGGAGTTCAATAATCTGTTGAACAACAAACATTTTTCATTAGAAAGGCAAAAACTTACCTACATGTAAAGATTAAGTGGTCCAGTGTGTGCTGAGCAAAACAACCATCCTGGAATTCCTTCAGAAGTTTTTCTTTTTTTCGAGCAGTGTTTTGAAAAGATGTTGTACTTTCCAGTTCTCTGCCTTTGTTATTTATGATCTGTGGAAGGAGAAGAAAACTGGACTTTTCTTAAATCATTTATTCAGGGCATGTTTGATCTCGCAAATTAGATGCAAGTTCATAGCTTCCCAATGCAGTCCCTGTGGTGTTCTGCTGCTTGTGTGTTACTCCAGGATTCACCAGGGGGGCTTGCTGGGGCTGCCAAGCCATTTTTATTGACATAGGAAATCCATACGCCTTACATTTCGCTTAATGAGTTCTGCAAGTGCACGGCTCCTTCCTGTGACTCATTCTGCACTTGTGTGGACCGGAGGCTGTGGTTTTCCATTTACCACTGGACCCCAGCCACGGTGTCTGCAAGTCTGCACTGCTGTAACCCTGCACGCTTTCAAGTCGGCCAGCCAACGAAACTGTCCTCCAGCTCAAAACAATGGATCCCCGTCTGCTCCGCTTCATTGTGTTACTGTTTGGCTGGAGGCATCGTTTCGTTTCATACACAAGAAGTGACAAGAACTATGCTAAGGTCACAGCATCTTTCTAAGCGTGACTGAATTCAAAGCTATTAATCCCAGGTCGTCCATGAAAACATGCAAGCCATCAGGGAGAGTTCCTTTGCCGGAAGGCTGTTGTGGTGGCTGGCTGACTGAGTGTGGAGTTATAGCACTGTGGAGACTTTTTCCCCAGAGGACAATTACAAACCTGCATGTTGAAAGTGATATAGATGAGGTGATAGCTAAAAGGCCAGTGTGGTGTGACTCTAAGGTACAAGCGTTCAAAGAAATCGTGGTAATATAATAGTCAAGCATGTGAGATTTATTACAGTGTACTAACAGAATTGAGAGTACTCACACTGAGCCTCAAAACAGTAAATCATGAATCCATTGTGTTTACACAGTCAGTGGAGGTCAGAAGTATAAATATGCCAGGTGATGCAATGGTGAAATGCAAACGAAGCAACAAACTTTCATTGAAGGAAAAAACAGAACAACCCATAGCTCTCAAAATACACACAGTATTTGCATGGGGTTTTCACAGAAATTGCCACCGACGCAGCTAAACAAGCACTTTTGCGATTTGCGACGGTTATGAGCGTTAGTCATAGCAGATGGTTAAATTTCAGTGCATTTGAGGACTTTGTCCTCAAATGACCATGCATGGCTTTGAATTCAGTTCGAGCTGTTGGACTGTGGTGACTTACAGTGCAAAACAACAGAGTTCTCTGCCTGGTCTCGAATTCAACCACACTGTTAATAGTATTCCAATCAAACCATTGTCCAAGCCAATTTTCTGCTCTGGTGGTTTTTTATTTATTTATTTTTTTTTGCTTTTCCTTTCAAAATGTGATTCCATTTAAAAATGCTT